TTCCGCCCGGGGCCCAGCTGTGCAGCTCCCCGGCAGGCTGGGTCTGGGGCCGGGCCAGGCCAAGGCGGCAAGGACCGGACCCCGGCCTGGGAAAGGTTACTCCAGGCCAATGCTCCCTTTATCTAGCCTCGGCCCCTCCCCTTCCTCGTGCCTGGGGTTGCAACTGCCTCGGGCTCCGCTCTCTGCGACTCTGGTTTCGGTTCCCTTGTGTTTCTTGGGGGAGGGGCCCATCGGCATCTGTCTCCTGAAGGCCTGTGTGTCCTCCCTGGGTTAGCTGGCCACGTGCTCCCAGTCCTTGTCTCATTGGCTGTGTGTCGCCTCAGGCAGAGAGGCAGACTTGTCCCTGATTTTTTTAAAAAAGGCTTCTCCCTGAACTCCACAGATAGCGGGCATCCCAGGCATGGGCTGGGCTCCAGATTAGGAGAAAAAGTGCCTGGTCTGCCGCTGCACTCTCCTCGACTCCTGTCCCATCCGTCGGGCCGCAGGGGTTTGGCAGGCGGCCGTGGCCTTGGGTGAGGAACTTGGCACATTACCCACAGCTACACTGTCAGCCCCAGCTGGCACTCCTGCCAGCTCCCAGCACGAGCCTGGATTGCCAGGGTGCTCGGAGTAGGCGTGCTCACTTCAGGAACTAGAGATTGGCTTGAGACAAAGCAAAGCTCTGCACCTGGATGGTGGGGGCAGAAGAGAGATCACTAGCTCTTTAGAAGGGCTTCCTCTGGGCTAGTTTCAGGAAATAGCATGTTCACCTGGAGGATTCACCGGCCAGGGTGGGAGGGGCCTGGTGTGCATCCACAGCTTGTCTGTTTAGGCCTTGGCCAAAGGACTGGAAGCAGCGTGGAGTGACGGACCTTCATGGGTGGATTGATTGCCCTGACTGTGCAGGCATATGGGTCACCCCAGTCCCGCTGGCTTATGTCCCCGTGGACACTGGCCCAAGCTCAGATCAACAGGCTAGGGCAGCGGTGATCAGCTGGCTGGAGGGCAGACAGCAGGATATTCTGCTATTACTGGGATTTCAACGAGGCAGCTTATTTAGACACGCATGTACATACACACGCACACACACACACACAACCTCTTGTTGGCTTGAGAATAGGTAAACGTTTCTTAATAAGTCAAAGCATCATTTACAAGGATTTGGTTCTCCTGATGGCTCTGCCAATGGGGTCCAAATTCTACACCTCTTGCTACCTCCAGGCTGTGTGAGCTTGGGCATGTCACTTTGCCTCTCTGGGCTTCAGAGTCCTACTGTGCAATGGACATGAGAATACACAAGCAGCGGGATGTGGTGAGAATCAAATGGAGAATCAGCTGTGAAACCACTTGGCAAAGGAAACCATTCCAGGCTGGGCAACTATTGTCCGTCGGGGGTGGGAAGACAGGGCTAGGGCACGTGCCCCTGTACTGAACCAAGAAATCTGTGACCCACTGACCGGCCACCTTGCTGTGACCACTTCCTGACAACTCCAGCCCCCCCACCACCGCCGCTACCTGTCTAACTGTTACTGCCGCAGAGGGCCTCTTTCTCTCCTGCCCCTTTCCCACTCTCCCTTCTCTAGGCCCTGCACAGGCCCTTTTCTTTCCCATCTGTCCCTATCCTGAGATGGCAGATGGTGGCCAGTGCGTGGCCAGTGCTGGAAGAGGGAGGGGAGGGCAGTGGAGACCCTCCCACTGCTGAACTGGTAGGCTAGAGTCCTCAGCTGCTTGGGTGTGGGGCTGGCCACTTGGGGTGATGCTGGCAGGAGCTGGCTTGGGAGTGTGCCCACCAGGTTCCGATGGGAGCATGCTGTGCAAGTTTCTCATCTGGAGGAAGGATGGGAAAGTAGAGAGAGGCGGGGCCTAAGTAGACAGAGATGATTGACCCAAGTTCTTCAAAACCCAGTGTTGCCTTTTGCTTTCCTGTGCTGCCCTTTGCTTAGTTCAGGGCAGCCCCCCAGCAGTTGGCCAAGGAAATGGGCAGCTGTCCAGGGCAAAGGGAGGGAGCGTGGGCGTGGCGAGCATCCCAAATAAAGAGGTAGTGGAAAGGGGAGACGAGAGTGGGCCTCGGCAGGTGAGGGGGGCATCACTTCACCACCACTGTACTCCAGTGCTGTGATGTCAGGCCATCCCATACTTCCCCGGAGCCTGAGATCTGCCCCCGTAAACGTGCCCTGTCATAACCCCAGCTCTCAACCTTGTCATGGCCATCAAATGGCATCACGGCGTGAGCGGCATTTGGGGACTTGCTGTCGCCTCCACAGTAGTGACCCCCAGGCCTCTGGGTCTCTGTCACCACCCTCCCAGGTGGAGCTGGCCCTGCTGCAGCACTCCTACCAGGACCTGGCCTCACAGATCAACCTCATCCTGCTGGAGCGCCTGTGGTACGTCATGCTGGAGCAGTTCCTCATGAAGTACGTATGGAGCGCCTCAGGCCTGGTCATGGTGGCAGTCCCCATCATCACCGCCACCGGCTACTCAGAGTCAGGTGAGAGCCAGCACTCCCAGGGGGGCGGGGGCAGAGGGCGCCTGTCCTCCTGGACCACTGGGGCAAGGCTTAGGAGGGCCCAGTGCTCAGCCAGCACCCTCGCCTCTTCTCCTGCTGGGGTTATGGAGCCACTGGCACCCTCGAGATCACCAGAGTTCACACCTTGCTGCGTCCCACACTGCGTGCATCTCCCTTTTACAGCATCTCACGCTTCTTGGTACCACCCAGCCAAGCCCAGGGACTGCAACTCAGGAACACCCTGTGTCCCCTCACCAGACCCACCTGTCCCTGTCCTCAGCCCAACTGCGACTTGGAGGTGGGAGGATGGGGAAGAACCTTGAGGGAGCCCCTTACTCCTTGGGCTTTGGCTGTCCCAGGCCTGAAATAGTTTTTGCAAGTTGTTGAGGGCAGAGTTCTCTTCCCCAAGGCCTTGCAGGGACCAAGGATTCCCATTTTGTTCTTCTGCTGGTCTGCAGTGGATTCATTCTGTTTGCAGTCTTTTTATGGTTGCCCTTTGAAGGTGAAGGTACATGCTTAAGAACAGTCTGAATGCATCAGTGGCTCCTCCTCCTCCTCCTGGCCCTTAGAACACTGACTGGAGGCTGATGTGCTGATGTATGTGTCAAGTTTGCTTTCCCGTTGTTTTATACTTGGCTGTGGCTTTATTGGGTCGGTGCGTGAGTTTATGCTTTCTTTGCTCACCAGACCTTCCCCACAGTCTGGTGACCCTGTTTCAGATGTCCTTCAAAAGTTCTTGCCATGAGGCTTTTGTCATAGGAGCTTCGAGATTATTGCGTTGTCTGAAAATTCTTTCTTTTACCCTGTTTTCCTGAAGTTTCATTGAGCATGGGACTTGAAGGGGACAGTCATTCTCTCTTAGCCCATTGACAGCATTCCATCGGCTGCACTGCCTCCCTGGTTACTCTTAGACTTTTCTCTTTCCCTTTGGCCTGCAGTTTCACTACGAAGTATTTGCCTGTGTGTTTCTGTTTCTCCTACTTGAGACTTGTTGTATGGCCTTTGAATATTCAGATTTTTTTTCTCAGCTGTTATCTCTTCAAATATTGCCTCTCTCATTGCTTTTACTCTTTCCTTTTGGAACTCCCACGAGACACGTGCTAGACAGCTCACCCTCTCCTTCGTGGCCCTTCATCTCTCTCCAGTATTCCCCTTTGAGCACTATCTCTGCTGAATCCCTGGAGACCGCCTCAGACCTTCCTGCTCACTCATTTGCCAGCTTTCTCTTCAGCTACTTCTAATTCTTTTTTTGCATTCTTTGCTTTTAAATGGAAGTATGGTTGGTTTACAATGTCATTTTAATTTTATGGCATACAGCATAGTGAGTCAGTCATACATATACATATATATTCCTTGCCATATGGTTTTTCATTGTATGTTGTTAAAAGGTATTGAATATAGTTCCCTGTGCTGTACGGTAGGACCTTGTTGTTTATCGGCTGCACCTAATTTGAATTTTTTTTATTTCAATTACTATTTCTGTAAAGTTCTGTTTGATTCTCTCTCCAATAGGCATTTTCTTTTTCGAAGTGAAATTTCAGACTGTTTTTGTAAGTGTCTGATTTTCTCATCTCTTTGGCTGCTCCCTTTTTGCCAGCTGTCATGTTCATCTGCTTATTCTATGGTCTCTATTTCACTCTTCGCTGATCTGAATTCTTGAGGGTCTAAGTCAGCCTTACCTTACATCTCCATCTTCGCTTGAGGTCCTTGTGTGTTTTGCAACCCCACTTCAGTGGGAACCTTGAGTGGCCTAACTGGAGGGTGGAACTCCACAGTGCAGGTCAGCTTCTGTTTTGGCCAAGCACTCCCGGGTAATTAACCAGTCGGAGGCCATTTTCATGTTAACTTCTCCGCTTGGGGAGGAGGGCTTCCTGAACTTGGAGGCAGTATTCATTTGAACCCCAGACGCATAATTACAGATTCTTACAGGAAGCCTTTTGTTCCGCACACCTAGAGCCCTGGCGGCACGGAGGAAACCGCCCTGGCCCCTTGTCCCTGGGGGTTTCACAGGCACACCTGGCTGCTGGGTTCTCATTTTGCTCCTGGGAATTTCCTTTGCTTCCCTTCGAGCGCAGCTCTGGTTTGCGAGGTGTTGCATTTTATGCAGTAAAGAGTTTTCAGGGAATATAAAGAGAGGGAGGCTGAGTTGTTTCAGAACCAGAAGTCTCTCTGATTCTCTGATTCTCTGATTCTCTCCCTACTGGCATCTCTACCTTGGAGCTTCCATGTCCTCAGCTGGCTCTCCCTCTCTGGGTGGTGACCCCCAAGAGGAAGGATCTATTTGGAGGTGGTACTTGCTTTCCACCAAAGGGCTCACACAAAGGGCGACCTAATTTAGGCCAGACTCATCAGCCCACCTAGCCTGGAGCATGGGAACGGACCCATGAGGAAACCAACCTGTGGCTCCTGTGAGGAAGCCGTGCAGCCCCTTCCCACTGAGGCTGGCACTGGGCACAACTTCTCCAGTCCCCAGGCCTCTCCCTCCTCTGAAGGCCTAGGACTTTTTGGAGCCTCTGCTGTGTCAGGCTTAGTGGGTGATTCAAAGAGGCATGAGCTCCTGTCCCCAGCCTCATGGCCCTTATAGCCAGTTACCTGGGAACCCGTGATCTGCTCCCATCCTCCATGTCCCCTCCGCTCCTGTCTTGCTGACCTTTTTGCTATTCCCCAAAATATGCTCCTGCCTCAGGGCCGGTGCTCCTCCTCACTCTGCCATCCTGTCCAGCGGCTCCCTCCCTGTGAGCTTTGCTCACAGGCACCCTCCAGGTGCCGCCTGCCCTGACCATCCTCCCGCCTCTCTTCCCCCTCCCTGCCTCGCTGCTCCTCCGAGCGAGCGAGCGCTGACAGCCCATCTGCCCGCGTTATCTGTCTGCTTTATCGTCGCCCTGCCCCTTTAGACTCAAGAAGGGCAGAGGTTTGTCTGTTTTGTCCCCGCAGTGTCCCCAGTACCTGGAGGCTGAGAACACTGGAAACTAGCAGGGGGAGGCAGGCACTTATCAGCGGGGAAGATAGAGACACCTTTGCTCTCTGCCTCGCTGGTTCTGCCAAGCTGGATGGCCCTTGGGAGGAGTGGCCTGGCCTCCACCAGTTGTGGAGTGTCCTGCTCTGGGACACTGGTCTTAGCTGCCCGCCTGAGGTTCCAGCCCTGAGGAAAGCTGCAGAGGGCAGTTCTGTCTCCAGGGAGGTGCCAGCTGTTGCCAGGGCCCCTGCAGACCCTTTCCCTTTGTGTGAGGTCACTTTCCAGCTCACAGGATGTCCGAGGAGGACGGTTTCTGCCCCTCTCGCCTGGGGGCGTGGTGGGAAGGAAGGTTCTGGACCTCAGACTGTCATCCCAGCCCATCCACCCCATGTTGCACCTGCCTTGAGCTGACTTCCTGCCCCTTCCCACCCCACCCTGCCATCCTGTCCCTGGATAGAGTTGGCCCTCAGAGTCAGCCTCCGCCTTGCTCCCCATCATTATTTCCAGAATATTCCTTGCATAAAAGCCTTGCCCCTCTGGAGGATCCAAGGGATAAGAGAGTCAAGGCCATGGACAAGAGAGGGTTGAAGTGAGCAACCGTGGGTCTAGACTGACACAGAAAAGCCAGTTAAGATGTGAGCAGGCTCGCGGGCTCCTGAGGAGGAATAGCGGCATTGCGGATGGCTACAGCCTACAGCCTCTCCTGGAGAGGTTGGGGGGATGGGGTAGGGTGGAGGTCTGGAAGGGGATATTCATGTTTGAGAGGCTCCCCTCAGGAGGGGCTGCCTGGTAGTGCAGGACACAGTGTGGGAGCAGTCCAGCGGGAAGGAGCTGGTCGTATCAGAAAGAAAGCCAAATGCCCAGTGGCTCATTTGTTTATAGGCGTTATTGAGGTGTAATTAACACACTGTACAATTCAGCCTTTTTATTTTTTAATGGAGGTACTGAGGATTGAACCCAAGACCTCAGGCATACCAAGCATGCTATCTACCACTGAGCTATACTCCCCCATTCAGCCTTTTAATGTGTGCAATTCGGTGGTTTTTAATATAGTCACAAGGTTTTACAACCGTCACTGCTATCTTAAGTCCAGAACATTGTCACCACCCCAAAAAGAAAGCCCAGAGCCATTAGCCATCACTGCCTATCCTACCTGGCAGTCCCTGGCAACCACTCCGCTCTCTGCTCCGCTCTCTGTGGCTGTGGGTTTGTCTTTTCTGGGCCTTTTGTATAGATGGAATCACATAATATGTGGCCTTCTGTGTCTGGCTTCTTTTACTTAGCATCATGGGGGGGTTGTTTGTTTTTTTAATAACAGTATTTCTTTTTTTGTTTGTTTTGTTTTAGGGGTGTTAGGGTTTTTTTGGGGGAGGAGGTAACTAGGTTTATTTATTTCCTTATGTATTTTTAGAGGAGGCACTGGGGATTGAACCCAGGACCTCGTGCATGCTAAGCATGCACTCTACCACTTGAGCTATACTCCCCACCACCCAGCATCATGTTTTTAAGGTTCACCCAGGTGTAGGATAAACCAGTACTTTATTCCTTCTTATGGCTGAATAATCCTTTGTACGTACATACCTACCACGTTTTGTGTATCCACTCATCCATCGGTAGACATTTGGGTTATTTCCACCTTTTGGCTCATGTAAATAACACCGGTGCATACACTCATGTACAATCTTGTGTGTGGATCTGTGTTTTCATTTCTTTTGGATAGGTGTACACCCAGGAGTGGGATGGCTGGGTACGTTGGTAACTCTGTTTAACAGACTTCTCCATTTCCTCACCATCGCTTGTTACTATCTCTTCTGAATTAAAGCCATCCTACCAAGTGCGAAGTTGTATCTCATTGCCATTTGATGACTAATAAACGTCTTTCCATGTGCTTATTGGCCATGATATTGTATATTTTACAATAGAAATGTCTGTTCAGATCCTTTGCCTGTTGTTTAATTGGCTTGTCTCTTTATTGTTGGATTGAAAAAGTTCTTTATGTATTCTGGGTACCAGCCCCTTATCAGATATGTGATTTGCAGATATTTTCTTACAGTCTATGGGTTGTCTTTTCACTTTCTGGATGATTTCCTTTGATGCCCCCAAGTTTTTAATTTTGATTAAACTCATATATCTGTTTTTCTTTCATTGCTTGTGTTTTCGGCATCCTCTTTGAGAAGCCATACCTGATCCCAGGCCGGGAAGATTTACTCCTGCTTTCTCCTAAGAGTTCTGTAGTCTCAGCTCTTACGTTCAAGCCAGTGCTCCACTTTGAGTTTGTTTTTGTGTGTGATGTGAGGTAGGGCTCTTTCTTTGGCTTGTGGATACCCAGTTGTCCCAGCTTCATTTGCTGGAGAGACTCCTCTGTTCCCCAGTGGGTCAGTTCTGATTTTTCACTGTCCCTGCCTGTCCCTCTACTGTGCTCCACAGACCCAGAGGTCGTGAAGAAGGCAGCCTTGGAGATGAAGGAGGAGGAGCTGGTGAGTGAGCGCACAGAAGCCTTCACCATCGCCCGCAACCTCCTCACAGCTGCCGCAGATGCCATCGAGCGAATCATGTCGTCCTACAAGGAGGTGACCCCCCCAGCCCGTCCCCCATCCCTGCCATGCCCCCAGCCCCACTCTTGGCTGGCTGGGCTGAGCCAGGCTCACCGTCCCTGCAGGTGACAGAGCTGGCTGGCTATACAGCCCGGGTCCACGAGATGTTCCAGGTATTTGAAGATGTCCAGCACTGCCGTTTCAAGAGGCCCGGAGAGCCAGAGGATGCTCAAGCGGGGTCTGGGGCTGTGGTGAGGTCTGGCACCCGTGTGGAGGGGCCCCTGCAGATCCGAGGTGAGGGCATCTTCCCCGCGGAGGCCTTGCTGGTCCCTTTGCCCTTCCCCCAGAGCACAGCACAGTGGGATGGGGGGTCACGTGCTGGGCTGGTGGGTAGACCTGCTGTATTCCCAAGGGCTCCTGGACCACACACTGGCACGCTGTTAGAGGTGGGGGGGGTGCCAGGGAGCCCACCAGAAGGTAGGGGAGTCCTGCTGACCCCCTTCTTCCCTCCTGGCATTCTCTGTCCAGGCCAAGTGGTGGATGTGGAGCAGGGGATTGTCTGCGAGAACATCCCCATCATCACACCCACGGGAGAGGTGGTGGTGGCCAGCCTCAACATCAAGGTAAGTCTGCGGGGGAATGGGGGCCAGCCCTAAGTGCTGGCTGGGATAGGCTGAGCCGTTCGGCCCAGGGCCTGGCCTTCTGGATGAGCCAGCCTCAGCCCTTAGCTTGTAGCCGGCCAGCCTGCCTACGTTGTCAGTAGCCATTGACCCTGGGTCTACGTGGCAGGCAGGCTAAGCTCAAGGTGAAAGACCAATGTGTCTCTGACTGTTAGTTCCCCAGTGATGGAGTCAGAGCTGATAAAAGAGGCTAGTGATCAGCAGGATTGGGCAAGAGTCAGCCGGAGGCTCCTGGCCCTATTGTTGCCAGCACCTTGTACCCCGCCCCTGTCCCTGAAAAGCCCAGGACTTGGGGGCTCGGGTCCAACTCCAACTGTGATAGAAGAGGTTGCCCTCTACCAGCCTGGGCTTGGGGTCCCACCCATCTGCTTCAGGAAGCCCCCAGGGCAGGTGTGTGCTAGGCACAGCCTGCCCACTGGGAGAGCGCTCAGCCTCTACTGGAGCCGTCTATGGAAAGAGAGCCCTGGTGAGCTCTGTGTCCCCAGCCAGGGCTTTGGACAAGGTCAGGGAGTAATGACAAGGGGAGACCTGGGGGCGGGGGGAGGGGAAGAAGTGAGAGCAAGTCATTCATCATTCATTCATTCAACCAGTATTCCCTGAGCTCCAAGCTGGGTGCTGTAAAGCAGAGGTAAACCTAAAGGGTTACAGAGATTCCAAGTTAGACAGCTGCCCAGGGCCTAGCGAGGGCCTTAGGGAGGGTGGTCACCGTCCCTGGGGGAAGTAGACGTTACATGAAGCTTCACCCAGGAGCCTGCAAGCCAGCAGGCAGGTGGGCAGTGTGGTGGAGAAGTGGGCAGGGACGAGGAGCAAGGGACCACGGGGCCAGGTCCTGCAGGGGCCGTGTGTGCGGGCAGAGAGGGAGCAGGCAGGGGCAGAGCTTTGAGCTCCTTGCCTTGATCTGCTGAGAGGGGACCTGAGGGCCAGTTAGAGGCTGGACACAGGCCAGCAGTGTGATCCCCATTGCCACTGAAAGCAGTCACCGTTAGGGTGGGGAAGCCGCTGAGGGCCGCTTTATCCCAGGTGCGTGGTTTCCAGGAAGGCGCAGTGGAAGCCCAAGAGGGCAAAGAGCAGAGGCCCTGGGGAGCAGGGGTGCAGCTGGTTAGAGTGAGAGGAGGGGAGGAAGGGGTGACTGGGATGGAAGAGCGGGGCTGGGGGCTGGGCAGGAGCTCTCTCCAGGCAGAGCCGGTGGTAGAGCTGGGTTCCGGGGCTGGGAGGTGCTGGCCACGGTCAGCCAGGTCAGCCAGGCAGTGGGACCAGAAGGGCGGTCGGGAAGACTCAGGGAAGGAGACGAGGGGCAGCCGTGGTGCTGGCTGGGGGCCGAGGTAGATCTCCCCAGGGCCAGGCACTCAGAGGAGCCAGGGGCCTAGCCGACCCGCCCTCCACCCTCCATCCAGCCCAGGCCCTGCCCAAGGGAGTTTATGGTCTAATGGAGGATCGCAGGGTGAGGGGCTCAGATAACAGCAGTGCACATTAGAGTGTCTTCCGAGGGCTGCGAGGGAGAGTCCGCTCCAAGCCTCTCCCTGCTTCTGGTATTTGGCTGCAAATCTGGCGTTCCTCACCTTGCAGGAGCTTCACCTCGATGTCACCTTCATCTTCCCCATGGCGCTTTCCCTGTACACAAGTCTCTGCCTCCAATGTCCCCTTTTTATAAGGACACCAGTCACATTGGATTAGGGGCCCACCCTACTCCTCATCTAATTAACCAATTACATCTGCAAAGACTCGATTTCCAAATAAGGTCACATTCTGAGGTCCTGGGAGTCAGGACTCCAATATATGACCAGAAGGGGACACAACCCAGTGCATGACACTGACAGAGGTAAACCCCGCGGACATTTGTGTCAGCCGCACTCTGGGACCTCCCAAGTGTCGCCCAGGCTGGAAGGCCTTTAGTGTTGCTCTTATGTCACACAGATGGGGGACTTAACCCACCCCAGGACGCCAGTCTCCCTGCCCCCTGACCCCTCCTTTCTGCACACCCACCCCCAGCTCCGGCCGGCCCTTCTCCTAAAGCAAGTGTTTCCATAAGACCAGTGGACATCATGTAATCGGCTGATGGGGGAGCTGGAAGCCCTTGACGCTGAGCCCAGGGGTCACAGTGGCATCTCTATGGCACCTTAGCACCTGTGGGGACAGTGAGAAGTCTGTGGGGAGCAGGGGGATCAGCAGGGCACCAGAGCAGACAGAGTTGGGGGTCTGTACTGCCCACCTCTCGCTCTCAAGAAAGTACCTTTCCCAGGGCAGTTCCAAAGGGAAAGCAATTTCTGCTGGGGAGGCTGGGGCTGCAGGCTGATGTCCACCTTCTGGGGCGTGTACCTATCATGGGGCCGTGGCAGAACAGCCCCCCTCCCGCTGGTCCTGTGCTCTCTGGTGCGTGTCGGGGACCAGCCCTGGCCCGAAACAGGCGTCCGAGAGGTGGAGGGTGCCTGCCTGCTGCCCCGGCGTGGACCTGGGTGCGGGGAGCTCTCCCAGGCAAGAGGAGGGCGGCCCGGGGCCAGGTCCCACTGCGGCTGCCTCCGCAGGTGGAAGAGGGCATGCACCTGCTCATCACCGGCCCCAACGGCTGCGGCAAGAGCTCTCTGTTCCGGGTCCTGGGAGGGCTCTGGCCCACGTACGGTGGCGTGCTCTACAAGCCCCCGCCCCAGCGCATGTTCTACATCCCGCAGAGGTGAGTGCAGAGCCCCCAGCTCCCCCCGCCCCTTCTGACCAGTGGAACCAGATGTCTAGGAGGTAGCAGAGCTTGAGGCCTGGGTACAAGACAGCAAGTTGCTGCCTCCGAGTCAGAGGGGCAGGGGCACCTCCACCTGCCGCCTGCCCCTTCTTCGGTGGGCAGCTTCATGGCCGTGTAGTCTGAGGGTGCAAGGGGTGGTATGTCTGTGCGGGGTACATGCTGTGTGTGAGTCGGCGTGTGCACAAGGGCATGCGCATGTGCGTGGCCAGGTGTGGCCTGTGTGCACCAAGGGGCCCAAGCCCTGCCTGGACCACTTTGGGGCTTTGGGCCGGGTCTGCAGTCTTCCAATCGGCCCCACCCAGGGCAGGCAGGGCCCAGGCAGAGCCTGCCCAGGTACAGGGCGTTGGCAGGGAAGCTGGGCCACCCTTCCCTCATTGAACATGCCACTCTCCCCCAGGCCCTATATGTCCGTGGGCTCCTTCCGTGACCAAGTAATCTACCCGGACTCAGTGGAGGACATGCGAAGGAAGGGCTATTCTGAGCAGCACCTGGAAGCCATTCTGGACATTGTGCACCTGAACCACATCCTACAGCGAGAAGGAGGTAGGGGGAGGGCATCTCACCTCTCCATGCCAGAGAGCAAGCCAGCAACCCATCATCTTTTGTCCCAAGATTCAGTCAGGGAGCCTGTGGCCACCCCCTGCTACAAACCTCCCTGTTAGCCTCCAAGGGATGAAGACTACCCCAAGCAGCATTCAGGAGTCCGAAGCGCTGTGTGCCCCGGAGAGCCCCACCTTCCAGGGAGGGCCGACAGGAAGAAGGTCACCCCGATGGCCTGAGGGCACTCAGGAAGGGAGCCAAGCCTGGTGGGGGGCATCCAGCGGGAGTGCTGACCCATCGGGGTGGGGCACCCTCTCCAGGCTCTGTGCTGGGGGGCAGAGGGCCTTGCAGGCCAGGCAGGGAGCTGGGGCTTCCCTGACATGGAGGGAAGCCCTTGGAAGGCTTTAGGAGGGGAAGTGACAGGTCAGCTACGCATTTCAGCAAGAGGACAGACCACGAGTGTGGGCCGAGCAGCCCTGGAGGAGGCGAGTGCAGGGTGTCTTCACAGAGGGCCTGGAGCATCAGTGACAGGAGCAGAGGCAGAGGGGACGCCCATCCAGGTGTCTGCCTTGAGCCTGGGGGCGTGTCCCCTGGGAAGGAGACTGCAGGAGGGAGGGACAGGGTGTTGGCAGGAGAAGGCGTCACTCGGGCATCTCCGCTTTGTCTTTAAACACCCGTCTTGCCCGGGAGAGGGCAGCCCAGCAGCCTGGATGAACTGAGGGCGGGCATGGGCTGGGTTTTGGATTTTCATGAAAGCCAAGCAGCGAGTCTCCCCTACCTGCCGGGCCGCTGAGAGGCGGCTTGCCCTTGAGCAATACCTCACCTGCTGAGACTCGGTCCACCTGTAGAAGGGGCGGGGTACAAGGCTCCACCTCAGTGCCAGCGCTGAATGGAAGAGGTCCTGGGAGGCCCCGCAGCGGGTCTGTGGGAAACAGCAGATGACCTGTGAACATTCTTCCCAGATGTTGTCGCCTGTGTCAGAAAGGGGACTGCAGTCAGTGAGTTCAGTGGGGCAGCCAGTCCCCGGCCTGCCCTGGTTGCCATGGTCCCTGTGAAGCTTCATCCCCAGCTGCCTCCTGGCCTGGTCTGACCTCTTTTGCCTCCTGGGGAGTGTACCCCTCTTCCTGGCCCCCACAGACCCCTGAGTGCCTGGGGCCACTTTAGGGTGAACATCACAACCTATTAGTATTGAGTTCAGCTGAGAGTAACAGGACCACCCCTCAACAGTGGCTCCAATCATTTATAAGTTTATTTCACTGTGACACAAAAGTCCTGAAGAAGGCAGCCCATGGTTGGTGGGGACAGCCCCACTCCATGAGTGCCCTCAGGTCACTGCTATGTGTGGCCTCCATTCCCAAGGTCACCTCAGGGTCCCTGGTGGCTGCTGCAGCGTCACATCACATCCCAGGACATAGGGTGGAGGAATTGGGGAATTAGGGGCAAAGGGTGAATGCTGGCTGCCTTTTAAGGAAAATTCTAGAAGCTGTCACATGCGTAACACACTTATAGTCTGTTGGCCAAAATTCAGTCACGTGGTTAAACCTCACCTCAAGGCAAGCTAATTATTTCACTTGTATTTGATCACTTCTGTGAAGACCCCACCTCCAATATAGTCACACACTGAGGCTCTGGGGGTGGGGACTCCCATGTATCTTTTTTTGGAGGGGACACAGTTCTGGCCCGAACTCTTTTGGACTATTAAAGTCCCCCCTGTGGATGGGTGAGCACCCGGAGTGCACGTCCCCAGTGGGCGGCCTTTTCTGAGCCACGTGCAGTGCCAGGTTCCACTTCCACTTGTCTCCCCAGCCCCCTTGAGCCACCCCTGGCCTTCCCGCCATGCCCAGGCTCGTGTCCTCCCTTGTTGAGCTGAGCAGAGACCCATTGTGTCCCCTGCCCAGGTTGGGAGGCTGTGTGCGACTGGAAGGACGTTCTGTCCGGGGGGGAGAAGCAGAGGGTCGGCATGGCCCGCATGTTCTACCACAGGTGAGCCACGCCGGGATGACGGGGCTCCCCAGGGCACCGGCAGCCTCTGATCCAGCCGCAGAGACGGGTGCTGCGCAGGCGCTACCAGGAGGCTTCACTGGGCCACCCAGGGGCCTGCTCAGCATATGTGTTCCTTGGGACCTCCTTCAGGGGGAAGGCGGCACCTCTAGGAGTCCTTGCCCTGCCCCAGGACCTGACAGGGACTGGGCCACAAGATGGGATAAGCCTGAAGGTCAGGGTTCCCCGGGGTTGGGGGGAGTGGAGGGTCCACAGCCTCGCCCATTTGGCTCCCACTCCCAAGGCCCAAGTATGCCCTCTTGGATGAATGTACCAGCGCTGTAAGCATCGACGTAGAAGGCAAGATCTTCCAGGCAGCCAAGGATGCAGGCATCGCCCTGCTTTCCATCACCCACCGACCCTCCCTGTGGTAGGTGCCCTCCGTTCCTGCATCCAACACCCCCGGGGCTTCGCAGCTGGGTGGGAATGCAGGGGCGTGCCGCCCCTGGAGGGGCAGAGGGTCCTGGCAGCCGGGCCAGAGTCTCCCGCCACGCAACCTCTGCGCCTCCATCCCTGTCCCTCTTCTGGCCCAGGAAGTACCACACGCACTTGCTGCAGTTTGATGGGGAGGGCGGCTGGAAGTTCGAGAAGCTGGACTCAGCTGCCCGCCTGAGCCTGACTGAGGAGAAGCAGCGGCTCGAGCAGCAGCTGGCGGGCATCCCCAAGATGCAGCGGCGCCTGCAGGAGCTCTGCCAGATCCTGGGCCAGGGCCCTTCAGGCCTCCAGGGCGCTGCCACCTGACTGCGGGCCAAGGCTCTCAGCCCTCGGCCCTTGCCCCTCCCCAAGCCCTCGGATCACATGAAGGAAATGGAGCGCCTACCCTCCCAGCCCCGCTGTGGGCCTGCCCTGCATGCTTTCCCTCCTCCAGGGCCTCTGGGCCACCGCCACACCTGCCTAGAGGACCGCCAGCCAAATCGCCTGCCCCTTCCCAACTCCACTGCATCTGTGACCCCGTGAGGGAGCCGAGGCCTTTGTTTTCTCTGGGGAAGGGGAGAGGGGTCAGAGGCGAGCCCCAGTTCACAGCACCAGCCCGCGCCAAGGAGCCTTGGCATTTGTCGGGCACCGCCCTCCCGAGGCTGAGATCCCATCTTTCTCCTCTTCCGTCCCTTGGAGACCTCACCTCCCATCTCCTGGGATGCCCTTCTGGCCATAAAAACAGCCAAGCGGGACCCACGGTGAGACAGTCTCTGCTCCTTCTCCCTATCACTTGTCCCAAAGAGCCTGCAGGAGACAGAACCGCACAGCATTTCCTAGAGCAATGATAAGAATGTATTCCTGTCCCTTCATCCCTAGCCTTCTCTCTCCTACGAGCTAATTTATTGGATTCCTGTGTGTAGCCATCTGGACTGCCAATGTGAGCACCCCGCCAGCAGGGGAGGCGGCCTGGGCCATGGTCCTTCACGGGTGGCCTGGCCTCTTTAGTCAGACCCTGGCTGGCCCATCACCCTACCAGCCTACACTGCCAACAACCATGGGGGTGAGGGCAGGCCAGCCAAAGGGCTGTTGGACGCTGGGGCTGCCGGGCGTGAGGGCACCAGTGTGCCCAGCTCAGTGCCAAAGAGGGGTCAGCGGGGGAGCTGTCTGCAAAGCCAGCCCCCACCCGAGAGGGAGACCCCGCCACCGCACCGCTGTGTGCCTTTCCGGGGCCCTCAGCCCTCGGGTCAGGGAGCCTCCCTCAGTTTCTCAGTAAAAACCTTCTGCAGAAAGTACAGTCCTGCCTCCCAGCCTCTTAGTCAGGGTTTGGGGGAGGGATGGTGAGGGCAGCAGTTTTCCTGGGGGAGGAATAACCTCAAGCCCCCGACCCCGCCCGAAGATGATGCTGTTCCGCACACTCTCTGGCTGACAGGGCGGTGGGGAGGCGGGCTCAGCAACATGTCGCCACAGTGACGCCTGAGCCCCAGGAGGACTCTGCACTCAGCCTGACCCTGTGCTGGGGTGGAGAGGAAGGGACGATGTATGGTCCATGCATGAGGAGCTGCTAGAAAGTTACTGAGAAAACCAGTGAGTTGCAAAGTAGGCTGGTAGGGGGACACGGAGGAGGAAGAGCCCTGAGCCGGCCAAGCAAGGGGCAGCAGGGACAAAGTGGTTCCATACCTTCTAGGAAGAGGGAACGCTTGTGCAAAGGTCCAGGGGTCAATCAGGAGCAAGATGCTGGACATGGATGCTAAGGGCAAGGGGGAAGGAGGGACCAGGCCACTCTCTAAAAGCCTGGGCTTATTCCGGAGACGAGAAGCCACCAAAGTGTTTTCAGCAGGATGGAAACAATATAGGAGTTGTGCTTGAAGGAGGCCTTGTGGAGGGTAGTTTGGAAGGAGGTGAGAGCACACCGCTTGGCCCTCATCCACTGCTGGTGCGAATGGACACGGGGCCGTCATGGTGGGGAAGAGCGTGGCGTGTCCTCGAAAGCTAGATGGAGAGTCCTCATGTGCCCCAGCATTCTGCTCCGAGGTTTAGACCCAAGAGAATTGAAAACTAGCTCAAGTGGTAGAGCACGTACACCAGGTCCTGGCTTCAATCCACTATGCCGCCTCTAAATATAAATAAGTAAACCCTAATTACCTCCCATCCCAAAATTAAAAATTTTTAAAACCCCAGTGTCCAATCATACCCTTACAGAGGAATATTCTTAACAGTATATTGATGATAACCAAAATGTGGAAACGGCTGGAATGTCCATCAATCCATGAATGGACAAGCAAAATGTGGTCTCTCCGTACAACAGACTATTATTCAGCTCCACAAAGAACAGAGTTCCTACTACAACATGGATGAACTGTAAAAACATGCTAAAGAAAAGAAGCCAGTCATAAGAGAGCACACGTACTGTATGATTCTGTTTATCTGCAATGTCCGGAATAGGTAAATCTACAGAGACGCAAAGCAGATTGCTGGTCGCCAGGAGCTGGGAAGGTGGGAAACAGTGAGAGACTGCTGAATGGGAACAAGGTTTCCTTTTAGGGTGATGGGAATGTTCTGGGACATTGATGGTTGCACAACATTGTCAGTATGCTAAAGGCCACTGAATTGTGCACATTAAAACAGTTAATTTTGTTATGCGAATTTCACCCCCAAAATAGATAATATATAATAGATACATTGATTGATCATAAAGAGACAGAGGTGACAGGTGATTGATAGATACTAAAGAGAGATGGGAGATTAGATGGTAGATTGATAATGATGATAGGTAGGTAGGTAGGTAGGTAGGTAGGTAGATGGTCACTAAGGAGGTAGGTAATAGTCAGAGATGAACGAGCACACAGCTTAATGCAACACAGGCCAGATGTGCTGAGGCCGGAAATCCCGGATGGATTAGAGAGATTAGAAGACAGTCAACAGGTGCGTGGGGCGGTCAGACGCTGGGGGAAGGGAAGGGTGGGGTGAGAGTCAAGGTGACTCCTGGGTTCTGGCTCGGGTGGCCGGGTGAGCGATGGCACCCTTTGTCGAAGGAGAGACAGGTCGGGGAGAGGGTGCTACCTACTTAGCACTTGCTGGGCCCAGGCCTGCAGCCCCGGCGGAAATGAGGAGGCAGCTGGCACTAGGAGAATGCAGCTCGGATGAGAGCTTGAGGCTGCAGATCCTCCGAGGGGGCGTTGGCTGGCAGAGAGGCAGCTGGTGGTGGAGGGTACACGTGGACAGCCTTGGGAGGAGGTGCTTAATCTCTTATCTGGGGGATGGGAGATAGTCTGCGTTTTATCTGAATTTTGAGGTTAAGGTTTGTTCCTCATCCCAGAAGTGGCGGTTTGAAGGGCTAGGAGTCGTTCCTCCATCTCCTCCCAAGATGGTGCAAGTTGTCCCTACCTGATAATAAATCTTTAAAAAAAACAACAACAACTTACACTGTTAGAATGGTTCTGTGGTCAGCCACCAAACCCTAATTGATACCGATGGAAAGAGATGTACCCGGCAAATACCATCCAAAAGGAAATTAGTGGAAAGAAATTAATATCAGGCAAGGGAGACCTCAAGGCACAAATCATTATTAGGGATAAAAGAGGTTGCTGTCTAATGATTAAATAAATAATCCATTCAGAAGCATTAACCATTCTGCATGAGTGTGTGCCTGCCTAGTGGCAGAGCCTCAAATGTACATCAAACAGAAAAGTAGCAGTAAAAGGAAAAATTAATTAATTAGTATTTTCACCACAATAAATCACACTACTTCTCACTCCATTTGGTAGCTCAGGCAGGCAAAACTAGTAAGACTATAGCACAAATTGAACAAGCTTGATTAATGGACATCCCAAAACTAGAGGTTGCACATGCTTTTCAAGTTCACCTTCAACACTTATCAAGACTCACCATGTCCTTGGCCTCAAAACACATCTCATTAAATACTAGAAGAATGGGCATCATATGGATCATGTTCTCAAACTGCAATGAAATAAAGTCATAAATGGGGGGAGGGTGTAGCTCAGTGGTAGAGTGCGTGCCTAGCATGCACAAGATCCTAGGTTCAATCCCCAGTACCTTCATTAAAAAATAAATAAACATAAAATGACTAACTCAATGAAAAAAGTTAAATAAACAAACAAACAATATTACCTACCCCCCAGAAAAAACAACAAAATTTTTTAATAAAATAAAATCATAAATGGATAATAAAACTAAAATTAAGGGGGGAGGGTTTAACTCAGTGGTAGAGTGTATGCCTAGCATGCATGAGGTCCTGGGTTCAATTCCTAGTATCTCCATTTAAAAAAAAATTTTAATGAAAAATTTAAAAATAATTAAAAAAATATGAAAACTAAAAACACACTTCCAAATAATTGGTCCAAGAAGAATTATAATGAAAATCTTTTAAAAATGTTTGAACTGAACAACAATGCAAACGCTGCATATGAAAACTTCTGGGACCAGGACGTAGCTCAAACGGTACTCGGGAGGAAATGAGTAAGATGAGCACCACTGCAGGAAGTTAGGAAAACCACGGTAGAATAAACCCAAAGGCAGCAGAAGGAAGGAAATCACAAAGCAGCAGAAATTCATGAAATAGAAACAAGAAAGATCAATACAACCTGAAGTTGGTTTTCGAAATGAATGAAATAGGCTCTGGCAAGAATGAAAGGCAACAATATCCAAATCAACCAGGCCAGGAAGGAAAAAAGGGACAGAACCACAGATAGCACAGCCATTTCAAACATCATGGGTGACTGCCTTAAGCAGGGGAGCTTGAACACCTGTATCTTCCTTGCTTCTCAAACACAGCGAAAATGATAGTAAGGGAACACCAGATGCGAAAAAGGAGTAAGTTCAGTGCAGAAAAGGAGACGAGTCCCTTCTAAGAAAATTTTAGAAGCTGGAAAACAAGGAGAGGAGCAAAGAGCGCAAACTTTGAAAACAGGAGGCGGGCAGTGGCAGGGGCTGGTGTGCACAAGACTTGGAAGCACCAAAAGAAAAAAATGCATGGCAGGGTGGGGAACAGAAGGACAGAGGGATCGGTTGAAAGTCTGTATAAGAGGCTACTCGTTCACATGTATTTCAATTGTTTATTTGTGTGTGTGTGTGTGTGTTTATGGCTGCGAGATGCTCACTCATATCTTTGCCCCACCTCATGCAGAAGACCAGGTCTGTGAAAATGCAAATTAAAGCTACAGTGCGATATCTTTTCATTTCCACAAATTGGCAGAATTTAAAAAGTGTGACAATACCACATGTTGACAGAGACCTGGAGTAGCAGGAACTCATGTACTGTTGGAGGGCAAATATAAACTGGTACAATCCTTTTGGAAAACAATTTGGCATTATCTAGTAGAACTGAAGCATATTTATGACCTAATAATGACACTCTTGGGCACACCCTAGAGAAGGTCTTTCACAAACACACCAGATTATATGTTCAAATTGTTCACAGCAGCGTTGTTTATAATAGGCAAAGGCCAGAAAAAACCCAAGTGTCCATTAACAAGGAGAATAAACAAACTATATTAAGGTTATATGATGGAAAACTATTCAGCAATAGAAATGAATAAACTTGGATGTATGTCATGAGTATAATACAGAACTAAAGCAACAAGTTACAGAAAAATACATCCAGTATGATTCCATTTATATAAATTCCAAATGTATAAAACCAAATGATATATATCATTTAGGGATAACTCATATTTGGGACAAGTACAGAGAAAAGCAAGGAAAGGATTGTGGTTGCTCTGTCAAGGGAGAAAGAGGGTGGGGGCTTCAAAGGCATCCAGAATGCCTCCAGTTGGTGGCGGGGACACATATATAGCATCTAATCATGATTTTCTGAACAATTCATATAAGTGGTGTCTACTCTTTTGTATGTATCTGCTGTTTTATAGATCAAAAATAGCTAAATGTTAAGCAATTTCATCTGCTCAATTTCTTTTGACCTACCAAATTTCATAATAATATAATAAGACCACAACTTTCTGCTAATAAGTTTGAAACTTTGATAAAATAGGCATAGTTCTAGGAAAATACTGTTGATCAAAAATTGACTCAAAGTAGAAAAAATTATCCTAAAATTCATATGGACTCTCAAGAGACCCCCAAATAGCCAAAGCAACTCCAAAAAAGAAGAACAAAGTTGGAGGACTCAGGCTTCCTGGTGTCAAAACATATGACAAAGCTACAAGAATGAAAACAGTGTGGTACTGGCCTGAAGATGGACACACAGAGCAATAGAGCAGAATAGAGAGTCCAGAAATAAATCCTCATGTATGTGATCAAATGATCTTTGACAATGGTGCCAAGAATATTCAACAGGGAAAGGACAGTCTCTTCAACAAATAGTATTGGGAAAACTAGATTTCCACATGCAAAAAGAGAGGAACTTGGACCCTTATCTTACACCATCAACAAAAATCAACTCAAAGTGAATTAAAGACCTAAATGTAAGACCTAAAATTATTAAACTTCTAGAAGAAGATATGGGGGAAAGCTTCATGACATTGGACTTAGCAATGACTTCTTGGCAATGACACCAAAAGTATAGGAAACAAAAGCAAAAGTAGACAAATGGGACTCCATCAAGCTTAAAAACTTTTGCGCAAAGAAAGATAAAAGATAAAAAACAGAGTAAAAACACCTCCTACAGAATGGGAGAAAATATATATAAATCATATATCTGAGAAGGGGTTAATATCCAGAATATACAAAGAACTCCTACAACTCAACAAGAAAAAAATCAAATTACCTGATTAAAAAATGGACAAAGGATTTGAATAGACATCACTCCAAAGAAGACATACAAATGTCCAACAGGTACATGAAAAGGTGCTCAACATCATTCATCATCAAGAAGTGTAAATCAAAACCACAATAAGATATCACCTCACACCCACTAGAATGGTTACCATTTTTAGAAAAAAAGCAAAAAACATCAAGTTTTGGCAGGGATGTGAAGAAATTGGAAGCCTTGTGCACTCTTGATGGGATTGTAAAATGGTGCAAAAGCCAGAGAAAATGGTATGGAAGTTCCTCAAAAAGTTAAAAAGAGAGCCACCATATGATCCAACAATTCCATTTCTGGGTGCATATCCAAAAGTGTCAAACAGAGTCTCAAAGAGATATTTGTATACCCATGTTCATGGCAGCACTATCCACAACAGCCAAGAGGTAGAAGCAGCCTGAGTGTCCCCTGACTGAGGAATGAATGAGCAAAATGTGGTCTCTACACAAAATGGAATATTATTCTGCTGTAAAAAGGAAGGAAATCCTCCCAGATGCTACAACATGGGTGAACCTCAATGACACTATATGTGAAATAAGCCAAGTTACAAAAGACAAATATTGTCTGAGTCCGCTTATGTGAGGCATCTAAAGTGGTTGAATTCATAGACACAGAACGTAGAATGGTGGGTGCCAGGGGTTGGGGGGAAGGAGAGTTAATGAATGGATACAGCACTTCTGTTTTGTAAATGAAATAGTTCTGGAGATCTATTTCACAACAACTTGAATATAGTTAACACTACTGAAATGTACACTGAAAAATGGTTAAAATGGTAAATTTGTTACATGTATTTTTTACAACAATAAAAAAATTGACTCTGGATAAAACAAAACACCTGAACAATCCCATGATTACTAAAGAAATTAGTAGCACAATTTAAAATGGACGGATGGAGGGGCTGGAAGCTACAAAAGCAAAGAAGGCCTAGACAGTTTCACAGATGAAATCTGTCAAACCTTCAGGAACTGATAATCACTGTAGTAGACAAATTGTTCCAGGGAACAGAAACAGAGGCTGTGTTCCAACAACAACAACAAAGCCGATCCAGCAAAGACACCATGACAAAGTTGAGTTTAGCCCAGAAAATCAAGGGTGCTTTAACATTAGAAAATCAATCAACATAATTTACCCCATTAACTGATGAGAGGAGAAAAATTATGTCACTGTCTCAATGCACTCGGAAAAAGCACTTGATGAAATTCAACATATAGCAGACTAGGACTGAAAGGGAACTTCCTTAATCTCATAAAGGTGTCTATAAACACCCCCTGTAAACCTCATAATTAATGATGAAACATTGAGAATATTCCCTTTGTTTCCATTCAATGTTGTACTGTCAGGGAAGTAAAGTGAGAAAAAAAAACTGTAGTTAAAAGGACTGGAAAAAAGAAAATGATACAGTCATTACTGGCAGATGGCATGACTGTGTAAGTAGGAAACCAAAAAGAATCCACAAAAGGAATCCGAAAATAATTATTAGACTTAATACAAGAGTTTACAAGGCTGCTTGATACAAAATCCATATATAAAAGTCAAGGGTGTTGCCTTTGCTGTACACCCAAAACTAACACAATATTGTAAATCAACTATATTTCAATAAAAAAAAGTCAATTGTGTCTTTATATACTGGCAAC